CACGGAAAGGCTCAACAACAAAGAGTCTAACAAAAGCACCTGAGAATTGGGCCCAGGTGAACCTAATAAGTTCAACAAGGCCAAGTGCAAGGTGTTGTTCTTGGGTCAAGGCAATCCCAGATACATGGACAGGCAGGGAGAAGAAGTCATTAGGAACAGCCCTGGGGAGGAGGACTTGGAGTGGATGAAAAGCTGGACATGAGCCAGTAGTATATGGCACATCTGCCCATGGCATGACAGCATATTGTGAGCTTTTTCCACTGAGATGCTATATTTTAACTTTTAAAATTACCTATACTACCAGTAGGGATGTAATTATAGAGCTTTTGCTACTACCTTGTATTTTTTTTTTTATCAGCATAGAATTTTGATAGGCTAGGAACTTTTACTGCTTTTATGAATATTTTATTTACTGATGTGTCTGTAATTTTTCTGAGAGAAGGACTGATATATTTTTTCATTCTAAACTTTTCTCTCCAGTCAAGATTTAAGACTTAGTCTGCTAGCAGGAGAATGATGTAACTCCATTTCATCTAACAGATGAGAACTTGTACTAGTTTAACTGACTTCCAAAATGTTTTTAATTTCTTTGTTCTGTAGCATGGAAGAGGTTGGGGGACAAGGTAGAATGTTTGTGCCACCATTGTTGGTCTTCAGTAGCATGACCAGTTTTCTCACAGTGGCGGAAAGCACAGGTGCTACAGTGACCCTCAGGAGACAATCTGTCCATATAAGAGGGAAATTTTTAATGTATCTTGACTGCATAGAACAGCGTTCTTGTGTTTCCTGAGGGTATAAAAGTGCTGAATAAAGCTGAACATTTCTGGCAGATGAGAGCTGCAAAGGAGAAATAATAAATAATGGTATTTTTAACAGTGCTGAATGATATAAAACATCCCTGTATGATTCAGAAAACAAATGCAAGTAGTTACTCTATTTTACACCATGACAATCACAGGCACACAGTATTCTAATACAGGCACAAAAATCAGAGTAGTTCAGTACCAGAAAGAGTTATAATTGAATGTTTACTACGAAAATGTAAATTTGTCCTTCCCTGCATTAACTACCATGCCAGCTCTCACAAAATTAGATTCATGCCTAAACCATTCCAAGGGTACATTTTAGACTCACACCCACAAAGTTCTAGGGAACCAGAATGAGCTCTGCCTCGTGAAAAGAAATAAACATCAGATGATGCGAGTCCAAAGCATCCTAGCTGCAAACTGGGACAGAGTCTGGCTGCACAACGGACTGGAGCTCTGACAATAACACTTTGTTTATAACTGGAAAACAGCAATATTGGCTCTTCATGGGGGTGAGAAGACATGGACAGCAACAAAGCAGAAAAAAAAATAAAAAGGCTGAACTTTGTCCCAGGCAACAGGTTAGGATTAGTTGAATGGATACAGTGTAAAAGCCCTTTAGCAATATATGATGTTTCTACCTTAATTTCTCCACTCTCTAGAGTATTTCATCAAGACATAACTCATGTGACATTTCTGCAGGGACCTGAAGATAAAAGTCTTGCAAAAAATTAGTCCTCAAGTGTTACCTGCTATTCTCAGCATTTTTGAACAGCAACAGCACTGTATATCAGTGACAGGGCTGACTGATCAAATCTGTCTCTGGACAAAAGTTTTATCAAATAGCACAGTATTAACTGAATAGAAAATTCCAGTAACACGTTGCTATTAGGGATGCTACAGAATGCTATAGCATTAGGCATGACAAAGTTTACGTATTCCAGTTTATGAATATGTAATAACAAAATAATCTGTAATAATTTTTATAAAGTACATAAATATCAGATAGTGACACTGTGAAATCGTTAAAAATCTGCTATATTTTATTGATATTTAAATCACATTAACTATAATTTTTAAAATCTTCATTTAAACACTTAATAGTTTAAAAAAATTCCCAACAACTTATATGCATACTCATTACTTCAGACCACATAGTGCTTTTCGTATTTCTTTATATTTAGAAATGATTCAAAAGATGCAAAGTTAAAGTGACAGCTCTGGATACCATAGAAATCAGTGTGCTATTAATTTAGACTGCAATCAACACAGGTTCTGATTTTCTTGCTTATACATTTTAATACTAGATTTTCGTATGTCACTTGTTTACGAATCTCAATATTTTATATTATCTTTTCAACAGCAAGTGTATTCTGCAAGTATAGTTCAGATAGAAAAACTGGAAACAAAGTCTGTTTTTTTTTTCCCCAAGATCAGTGTAGCTTTAATTTACATTGTAGCAACATGTAGTGATCTTCATCTTCTGACTTTGGTTTCAAATTTCATCAGACATTAGGAAGTATTACTTTTCAGAAAGGGTGGTCAGGCACTGGAATGGACTGCCCAGGGAGGTGCTGGAGTCATCGACCCTGGGTGTGTTCAAGGAAAGACTGGATGTTGTGTTGAGAGACATGGTTTAGTGGGAGCTATAGGTGAACGGTTGGACTGGATGATCTTTTAGATCTTTTCCAACCTTGGTGATTCTATGATTTACACTGTATTTACAAGGCATAAATACACACTCCCAACAAGTCGGGCAGATGAAAACAAAATTAGGTTTTCAAGATCTATTTGTGAGCCTATGGTACTCACAGGCTTGCACAGCTTAAGGCCTCCTTTCTTAGAAAGGTACTACAGGAAGAATTCAATTGCAGCTTTAAGTTCTGCATCCCTAATGTCACTGACGTGAGTAGGACTCCAGACTTTGCCAAAGCTTGGCACCGGCTAGCACTTCATGTAGCACTTATGGTGAACAAGAAGGTACATACTCTAAACTGTAACAACACTGAGAGAGAGTGACAAGAACTGAGCTTTGCATCTATCTATCATTAAAGTCAACAAATGGCATAGCTTGTTAAAACTAGAATCTTCCATTTGAGGGCAACATATGGGAATTTAGCTTTATTGAGTATTAGTTGAATCAGTGAAGACCCTGCCAATCAACCACAGCTTGAAACCCTCAAAACAAAGCTAACTCATTATGCTTCCCATCACTTTCACAAGCTTAGTGGGCTTAGACAGCTCACTACCATTAAAGACAATGAAAGCATCCACTTTGTGCCGGAGGTTAAGTAGCTGTTTCCATGCCACTTCACAGCAGGCGTTCTTTGCAACAGATAATTGCTCAACACCTACCACAGCGCATTTCCTGAAGGAGTATGCCCTACCATGAGAGGTAAGGCACTTTCCTGAACCTTAGGACAGGATTTAGTTATAGACGATTCTTCCTGAACAGAATTACGTTCTTTTACATAATAATTATCGAGTTTTTATGAGACTTCAAGTGCTTGACAGAAAAATAATGGAATCACAGAATGGCTTGGGTTGGAAGGGACCTTAAAGATCATGTAGTTTCAACCCCTTCTCCCATGGGCAGGGATGCTAGACAATAGATCAGAGTTTGATGACTTGAGTAAAATTTTTATTTCACCTCAAAAATCTAAGCAGATTATTGTAAAACATTGTTAAAGGTGTCTTTTGCTATAAGAACTAACCCAGCTGCAAAAACGATCTTCACATTCTCTGAAGTGTGTCATTACCAGGTGAGTGATAACTCTGCAGAGGCAAAAGTAGAATCCACTGAGCCAACCAGCACTTTGCTAGACTTGTGCAAGAGGATCCATCTACACAGTTTCTATTGTTTGAACGAACTTTGCCTTCATACTGCTTTATATGGATATTAAAGTCATTCAAGACACTAGCAGGCTCACACTAGACTTCTGCAGACATGTGAACTTCACTTAACGATTTCTACTGTTACAACAGAGAATAATATCCCACTAACAGTCATCGAAAGGAAAAAGGAAAATCTGACATGAAGCAATTAAGGGCTCAAGACAAATAATCAGAACATTTATGCACAGTCTAATGCTCTGACAATTAAAAACTTGCCATTAAACAGGAAAATTACTATTTTAAAATAGCATTTAACAACAAGCAAACATCAGCAACTGTTTGAGCAAGGATTTTACTACATGCTTTCTAACAGCTTTAAGAAAACCTCAAGGATAAATAATATCCCTTTCAGACTCTTTAGAGAGGAATAGCCATGAAGATATTGCTATGGTCTACTGTAGTGGCTCGCACATACTTCCCTAGTGGGTTACACGCTGTTTTTATTTTTTTTAAACAATGAAAAAATCAAGCTACAGAATGCTTATTTAAAGTAATATTAGCTTGCAACAGTAAATTCCAGCAAAGCAAAGAATAAAGATTGAGAGTATGCTAATGTGAGTCCTGGATGGACTCTCAGTTGGACATGAACTGACTTTCATTCTTATTTTTCAGACACACTTTAATCTTGGTTAATGTTTACACAGTTTTAGGCAATAGATTTTGGCAGAGTAGAGATGAATTTCCTTTCTTTCCCACTGGCTTTGAGAGACATCTCAATCTGAAATGATTGCTAGATTTTGCTTTGAGACTGAAAACTGCTGGCTTGCAGAACATGTACTGCTCCTACTTATTTTCTCATGTCAGATTATTTTCTGCCTCCATCCACCCCTTCAGTTCCCTTGCCAATTACAGTTCAGTGAGGTTAGCCTCTGCTTTCCTTGGATGCCATAAGGCTACACAGGTCTACTGCAGTTACAGCACAAGATTAGCACAGAACTCACAACAAGCCTGAATACAGAAACAGTAATATTGCATAACTTGAAAAGTAAGTAGATAAAGTGTACTCATAGAAGTGAAGAACATTTGTTCCTTCTAAAGGGCATACAGTCACCCTAGAGTCATACAGCAATAGAGCCTTCTGTTTTCAGTTGCCCAACAACAAAGGACAACCCGAGACTTTTACAGTCAGAATATTTTCACTCTCAGAAAAACTGTTTCCTAAGTTAGGCACATGAATTTGGATACGTTATTTAGGAATACTGCATAATCAATGAATATAAAGATCGTATAATTACGAAATAAACAAGAGTTTGGCAGAGCAGATTATAGTAACAAAAAGAGAATAGACAGAATGCTTACCCGTGTCATGGGCTCACTACAAAACTCCAGAGGAGGGATCTTCAGAAGATATCCTTTCCCACTGGTAGTCAGCTCTCAAATGGGTGTAGGAGAGCCTGGCTCCACCCCTTTCGGGGTGAATTGCCTTCACCTGTGCTCCCATGGCTGAATCATTGCTCGCCTCAGGTGATCAATCAGAGGTCAGGCCATGGTTCAGCAGTTCCCATACAAATACACAGTACAGATACAATCTATTACAACTAGCATTTTGCAGCTAGTCTCAGCAATGAACCTGACAGAGACACAAAAGCACAGTGCATGTCTGAAACAGGAGCAAATACAATCCAATTTAAAGCGTTTTGGATGTGTGAAGTATAATGGACAATTTCGACTGCTGACAAAGAAACTCCAAGCCAATGTTTTCCAATTAAGAAGAAATGAAAATAAATGCTTAGTTTCATTAAAAAAAAAAATCAATGTAGATGGGATTATTTTTGTTTTCTCAGCCACAGGAAGTTTTGTTTTGAAATATTTTTACAGTACTTTGCTAATCCTAGGTTACTGACTTATAAGCTATCACAGGAGATGCAGTGTGCCTGGAGAATCCAGCAAATACAGTATACTGCAGATGATTTTCAACTCACACCAGTAATTGTGACATTTTAATATTTCCCACTTGAAAGATTGTCATGCATAATAATAATAATAATAGTAATAATAATAATAACCATATTTACTTCTTTCATTTCATTGTCTTTCCAAGAAAAAAATCAAAATTTCTCCCCAGGTAACTTTATGGAAATTTGCATTAGTTAAAACTTTCCCAGAGAGCACTTGTGTAGCACTTTTTCAACCAGACCTTAGCACAACTAAGAATCACAAAAGCAAGATCCAAAGCAAACATGAAATTGGTTTTGAAAATGCACTGCATGGATCCAAAATCATCTCTCACATTTCTGCACATTAAGAGCAACTCATTCAAGATCAGTGTTAGTGAAAAAAAATCTCAACTTTATCTCCTGGACGTTGAAATTCATTTCAAAAGACCTCGAAACAAATTCAATTTTCTGCAGCATAGAGAGTAGCAGACTAGTTTTGATATCTCCTTCCTCAGGGGCACTGTGATGGATCTGCTTCTAAGTTAACAGAATGCTACAATTTCCTTCTGCCCAGATTTACAGGGATATATGAAATCTCCTGTAAAGATAAGAAAATAGTCTGAGCTAGAATACAGAGCTGTATGCTGCAGTTCAGGTACTAAGCTCCTTAACACAACACAATGAAATTTGAGGTACACCAAGCTCTGTGCCTCACAGGATTGCACTGTTGCAACAGAGGAATATCTTTCAGCTCCCTTTACCTGCCTCTCCCAAAGTCAATCCCTAATACAAGTAGAAGGGAAGAAAGAGTAGAGGGCCTCTAAGAAGTGCTTTTTTTTTTTTTAAAGTAAAATAAACATCAGGGCAGGAGTTTAGATATAACGTCAAATCACATGCTTGTTTGGATAGTAGGGGATTAGCAAATATTTCAGTTCTACCACCATTTCAGCTATCTACATGAAGCATGCTATTAAATACAGTATCCAAACAACATAATGATAAATAAAATAATACGCAAAGTACACAGTACTGATAATGCTCTGCAGGACACTTAAGTCAACGGGGCTTCGCATAGACTAAAAAATTCTCGTTTGCAAAGTGTATAGCTGAATCCCAGCCAATAGGCTTCATTATACTCTTTGTGGGCTTTTTCATTTTGACCTTTACTGCACAATTTATTTTGCCCTTCTTGTTGTATTTATAACATGTTCTATGCCATACTTGCAAAGGAGATTAGCACAGATTTAACTACAGCAATTAGAAAAGGGCGAGCTTGCAATGGACTGTAGCAGTTGCACTCCACAGAAAATGCACAGTCTATACATTTTAAAAAAAAGTTAAATAAATGGAATATTTTTAAATTTGTGGCCCTGATGAACATCAGAAATAACTTGAATAAAATACAATTTTCACATTTTAATTTCCTGAAATAAAGTTAACTCAATCATCATATAAAATCTGTCAGTCTCATTAAATCTTTCACAAAAAAAATATCAGACATTTAAGTGCATAAAGTGGAGTTTCAGGTGTGATCATTCATTTTCCCATCTATCATATTTACTGTTGTAATGAAGCAACAAAGTTTTGAGTGTCACACTTTGCACTTATGTTTCTTCTTGTCATCTTATTATTAGTTTTTAATCTATATTGGTCCAGCATATCATGAATTAATTATTGGAGAAAACATGAAGGGTATGTGGCTACCTAAAAGGACCAGTTTTCCTTAAAAGCTTCTACAATCTGAAGAGAAATAGGTAACTCTGCACAGGTCGGGTTTCATCTCCACTGTTACTAGAAATGCCCATTTGCCGCTTTTCTAAACAGCTGTCGGATTCTACCAAGTACTCTCATAAAATCAGAGATTTGGTATAAAACGGCCAATATAAAAATTAAAGTTAAATAATTCAAGCTTGATCATATTATAAACAATCTGGTTTTATGATGAAAACTGATAACAGTATTTCATGTACAGAACACACATGCATCTACCTACATGCATGTGTGCTATATGTGTTTTATGAATGTATAAATTCAAGAAACTGCAGTTAAGACATCAACACATTTCAATTTGCCAAGCACCAATTTACATGAATCAATTAGTTACACATAAATCATGCTTCTACTTTTCTTACAAAGCTCCACAGAAGCAACAAATCTCAAATGAGACATTTGGAAAACACTAATAAGATACATGTTACTCAGTTGCTGAGGGTCATCAATTTAGAAAGCTGAATGATAATCAATGCCTAGAGTTATTAAGCTTCAAAATCAACAAGAACTGACTGCAGCAAATAGACTATTATGAGAGAAACACACTTTGACATATATGACAGGGTTCTGCTAAAGGATATTTTCAAGACCAGATATGTGATGACTTAGCATCAACCCTTTTTATTCTTGATTATTAGCCAGAGTTTCATTGCAGCTCAGGCCATTACAAGAAGATTGTAAACAGAGTTCATTTCCTACCTAAGTAATGAAAGCTGTCTTAACCAGCTCAGTGAACACGCAGTTTGACAGAGTTTTCTGTGGATGTGAACACTGCATTATTTTGTACTATGAATTCCATTTTGTACTATGCCTGAAGCAGGTTATGTCTCAAACAGGTTATTGTAACGTATTTTAAACAGATACTCAAGAAAGACGTGGACTTTTACAGGAATTTGAAATCCTGTAAAATTTACTTTTACAGGAAATTGAAATCCAAGATGTCAAATAAGGCCTTAAAATCAGAAACTAGTTCACTGAAGTATTAAGCTTTTCTGAAAAAAGTTCATGGATGGGGTGAATGTGCCAGAGCACAATCTCTCTGTGAGCAACAACCAGAATTTAGTTTTATAGGAAACATTAGGAAATATCTTTCAGGATGTCAATTTGCAAAAAGTTTTAATTGTTCTTTAAGTGATTTATTTATTTATTTATTTATTAAATTCCTCTACTCATTTCTTCCTTCCCTATATTGTCCCCAAGGAGTAAATCAGAAGCAAAAACTATGAGTACGTATCATATAGTAAGATTTGCCAAGAAATGCTAAGGGAGCCTAATAGGAGCTCTGATGAAGGATGAAAGCACGATAGAGCACCTCAGGGTGAGATAGAGCCTGAGTCACTGGCTGGAGGGTCTGCAGTGACAGGACTTTGGAATAACTCATTTTGCTGAAGTGGATTGAGCTCTAGACTATGAGCTAGATGCCACCCAAAAACAGAAAAAAAAAAAGAGAAGTACAATTTTATTTAGCTATTTAGGCAACAATTGTGATCACTTGAAAAACAAGGCTGACAAAACTAAACATTATGTGAAGACCTTCCGAAATCCAGCCTTTTACAAGTCGTGATATATTTCCTGTCTACCTCCACTTAGTCTTTAGCACATAAAAATTTTATTCTGGTGTTCGTAAACAGTCTGCCTCATTAATATTATTCAGTATTGACTTTTTTCTTTTTTCTTTTTTTTTTTTCTTTTTTTTGTATTTGCACTTCTTCCCAACAAATAGCAATGTTTTGCTATTGTTTAGATTTAGATGCTTAGCTTAGAAATCTTTCACTCACTCCATGGAATTGCTTACCGTTTTTCTAGCACCAAAAAAAAAAAAAAAAAAAAAAAAAAAAAATACTACCCAAAGAGGTTCTTCATTGCATTTGAATGTTTTGCCTAAAGTGAATTGGGCAAATATTTTCTCTCTTGTCCATTGCAAACAGGAGAATTACAGCACACACACATACACACACAGACAGGAAGCCACATGAAGTATTAAGCAAGCATTCAGACCTCAGTTATGTCCTAGGGCAACTGTCCAGTGACTTGTGGGAGGGCACCATGCCAACCGAACAGATGGACACACATATGGATAGTCAGTACATCATGTGAAGCCATCAAGTATGGATACTAGGGGCATGATTCCAACCTAAGAACATGAGCTTTCTGTGAAGGTTAAGGGGATGTTAAGCTGGCTTTACATTCAAAAATAAAGAATAAATTCCAATTCAATGTTGGGTAACAGTTATGCTCTTAGTTAATCAGGTAGAGTTAGTAGATAAAGGGAGGCTTTTTTTCCCTAACAGAATAATTATGAGGTAAAGTTTTAACATTTCACAAGGCATATGTTATTCTGACAATAAACAAGTATTATCTGGGGGGAGATCAAGTTAGTGATCCTGATTTTGCACTGGCAGTGCTTTGACCCTGCATCACCATCTGGTCCTTGACTTTTCCCAACAGAAGACAGGAAACAGCTATTTGAGCAGTGATTGCAGCCCACATAGCCAAATGCATCCTCCAGCATCCATTACTGGAAGGGTCAGAGTTCGAAACCACTGCCTTTTCCTGATAAGAATGAGAATGGAAGAGCAACTTGTCCACACAACTTGTCCTGGAGAGTATTGCCAATGCACATCCTACAGCCTTCTACTGCTGTGTCCATCAGCAGAGACAGAAGGAGGTTAGGAGCTATGCTTTGTGAATGTAATTCACTGCTACACCCCTGTAGCCCAAGAA